ATGTTTTCTTAATCTACAACTACTCTTTGATCTAAATCTCTTTCTTATACATCGATGAGTGTCGCTGGATTTGTTTCGCTTGTCAACCCGGCCTGACCACACGTGACACCAGTCTTCCTCCTCCCCCGGAGTGTTGGGGGTAGTTGGACACAAAAGCGAAGGCCCGCAGGCCCTTCAGTCTTTGGGCTTTTCATTACCCAAACTGGCTTGCTGCCACCCTCGTGTCTGCCTCCACTCCCGGGGAGGAGCCTGGGTGTCTGTGGGCAGAGCTGGGGAATCGAATTAGCCAGGCCTGCTTTCCGCTCATGCCCACCAGCCAAGGTGAGTTCATCAAGTCCTCCCGCTAATTCTTACCTTGTTTTGAAGGGGCGAAAGGGAGTCCACAGTTTCATCTGAGGCAATTTGCACCCCGCCACTGGCCACGGCTCCAACACCTCCTTGTCTGTTGGGCCATCAATTCCATTAATAAGGCATTTCTTCAGGGAAAATTTGATTGCCGATCCACCGGAGAGACGCACAGGCAATACATCTCCATTGGAGCCCTCGGCCTGCCCGGCTCCCTCTAATCCTGTTACCTAAGGAGCTAATTCTCTAATGCACACACTACACAGTGGACAGCCTCCTCCCTCCCTAACCCAATTGGAGGGTCCCAGAGCAGCCCAGCAGCTCCGTGCAGAAGGGAGGCTTGGGACCCATGGCTGGGAGCTCCAGGCACTCTCACTGTCCCTCGGTGGCTGTCCCCACACTATCGCCAAGAGCCCACACCCAGAATGCCATGCTGAGGGGCCGGGAGGGCACAGGGCAACACAGTGGGCTCAGCGTTCAGCATCCTCGGCTCCTTCTGCTCCACGCTTCCTCTAGGCCAGCGATTCTCAACCTGTGGGTGATGACCCCTTTGGGGGTCAAACAACCCTTTCACAGGGGTTGCCAAATTCATAGCAGTAGCAAAATGACAGTGATGAAGTATCGACGGAAATCCTGTTATGGTTGGGGGTCACCACAACGCGAGGAGCCGCGTGGAAGGGTTGTGGCATGAGGAAGGCTGAGAACTGCTGCACCAGGGCACCCTTTGCACCTTCCATTTCCTTCCTTGTTTTCTTTCTCCATGCCTCCGTTCATTTCACTTCCATTTCCTTCCTCCTCCTCAATTTCCCACCAATCTTTCCTCCTTGTCTCATCATCTTGTTTTTCTGCCTCTCGCCTGTTTTGTTTTAGCCGATTCAACATTTTAACGTGTACCCATCCCTGAACTCCTTTACGTTCCTCACGCTGTGCAACCTCCACCAGTAGCCATTTCCAAGTTGTCCAACCCCTGAAACAGGAACTCAATGCTGTCCGAATCAAACCGTCTTAGAAACAAGGCTGGGGAGACTTTGCCTCACATGCTTTGGACATGCGATCAGGAAAGGCCAGTCCCTGGCAAAGGGCATCCTGCCCGGTAATATCAAAGGTCAGAGAAAACCAGGAAGACCCTGAAGGAGATGGGTTGGCACAATGGCTGCAGCAAGAGGCTCAAGTAGAAGGAGGGCGAGGATGGCACAGGACAGGGTGGGGTTTCATTCTGGTACACGCGGGGTTGCTATGCATCAGAATGGACTCCACATCACCTGGTGACAACCTCCCGGATTGGACTGTCCTTGCCCTGTTCTGCCTAGCCCCTCAAACCACGGCGTGGCTCTGCACATTTGCTTCTTCCTGCTGTCCCATGCATTCTCCTCCCCTTCTGAGATGGACCTATTTCACTCAACATACTTATTTGCAAGGACTTCGTTTCTGTTTGCTGCAAAGCAACCTTCCCTGGCAAGTGTTACAGTGTGTCTGTCTGTCCAGCTGCTGACAGCTCCTTTTCTTCCTGCTCCTTTTTGGCTCCTGTCTCCCACAACGACCTGGCTTTCTGTCTCACGTGACCTTGCTTACTTTTGCTCTAAATTCTTAGAAACAGTTGCAACACTTGCATACTAGTTATGACACTCCGTATAGACAGTGAAAATGCATCTTCATTTCTAAATATTTCACATTTGAGCCACAAAACAGATAGCTTGCTAAATCACACTGTGATTTCCAGGACAGGCTCTGCATATCATTGGAATATGAACATCTTATGCATGTTCTTATAAAGGAATAAACTTTACTTTTGTGTTCTGAGAATAAATCCAGATCGCAATATGTGCAAATATGACACCTTTTCTCCCTCTCTCGGCAAATAGTAGAAACATTACACATATTTAGAGTTCTTCCAGTAATTGCGCAATACTTCATAACTTAATACTGCTCTATGGAACTTACTACTGCTCCAAAAGAGCCCTGGTAGCATCATGGTTACCCACTGGGCTGCGAACCACAAGGTCAGCAGTTTGAAACCCCCCAGCTGCTCCACCGGAGACAGATGAAGCTCTCTACTCCTGTGAAGAGTTCCAGTTTCAGAAACCCACGAGGGCAGTTCTGCTGTGTCCTATAGGGTCGCCAGGCATCGTAAAGGACCCGATGGCCGTGAGTTTGGTTTTGGTTTATAGAAGGTAAGTTTGGGTCGAGTCAGTTAGAGTCTATCCTTTCACTCGGCATTGCCTTTTCTTCTTCTTCTTCTTCTCCTCCTCTTCCTCCTCCACCTCCTTCTCCTCCTCCTCCTTCCCCCCTTTAATTCTCTTTTGTTGTTACCTCTTTTGGAACAAGTAGAGCTTGCCTACTTCCCCCTACTCTAATGCTCCCAACAGCAAGGCGATGTGGAAGGCAGAGAACACTGGTGTCCTCAGGAGCAGGAGACAGAGGTAGCCCTCAGAGGTATCCACAAAGAGCCCCAGCACCACTAATGGGAGTAATTTGGAGGGCAGCCCTAGGTGTGCACAGGGGAGAAAGGTCAAGTGTTGGTGTGCTCTTGAATGATGAAATCAGTGGATTTCCATTCTAGTGAATCTAGTCGCATGCCCTGCTGAGAGCCCTATGAAGAGACTTCGCCTGGATGGCATCATTCTGGGCGAAACTTTCATAGTGCACCCCAACCAGAGGAGCAATTCTTCTGAAACGTTGCAGCCTAGTTCTAAATATCAGTCAGCATCAGTGGAGGTGAGCAGGAGCCTAACTGGCTTTGTTTATCATGCCAGGTGTTGAGCTTGGGATGCATCTAGGAATCCTGCCATGGATGGCCTGCGGCTGGAGGCCCAGGGAGGAGCTTGGTTCTTCTGGTCTGGCCTCATCCTCGGCTGATGTGGACACTGAGCAAATCATCTTGGTCTGTCTGTGAGCTGTTGCATCATGCTTTTCTCCTGTTCTGTTTGCCGTCATCTCCGTTCTGCACCCCCACACCCCCAAAGCCTTCGAGCTGACTTTCCCGAGGGTACAGGATGTAGCACACGGACAAGAGGAGGGCAGGCCAACTTCTCTGAGTTTGACTGAATATTCCAGAGCCTCCACAGAGCCAAGGAAGCTTCCATCGGAAACAAGATGGTTTTCCTTGTGTTTGAAGTCAACTGCAATTCTGACAACCCATCCCTCCTGCAGGGCTTCCAGGCCATCCCACACTCAGGATCAACTAGAAAAGCGTGAAAAGAAATGAGGCAGTCTGTTGATGAAGGCCAAGGTGATCAGTACAGATGCACCTGGCCTTCAGCACCCTTGAGGTAGAAGAGCTCGTGCTGACTCACATGGTGCAATACCTTCAGAGAGGATGTTCCCCAAATTCTTTGCTTAGGCAATTTGAGGTGCATACAGCCAGGTATCTGAGGCACGGATATTGCTTATTAAATTTACAATAAGATAAGGAAGATTTCTTTAGGGGGGGAAAGCCACAGTTAAAGGTGTTGAAATGTTTATGAAATGTTAGTAAGCACAGAGAAGTGAGGAATGCAAAATGAACTATTTACTTCAGGTGTATACATACGAGGGGTGAATCACTGAAGACTATATGCCCATATATTTAACAGTGGCTGTCTATGGGCAGGGTGCCCTAGTGGTGTAGTGGTTGCCCATCGGGCTGCTTACTGCAAGGTCAGCAGTTCAAAATGATCACGTGGTCTTTGGGAGAATGACGGCGGTTTCTCCTTCTACAAGGGGTTCTTCTCAGAAACCCGCAGGGGCAGTTCTACCCTGTCCTACAGGGTCAGCAAGAGTCGGAATTGCTTTGATGGCGTGAGTCTGGTTTCTGTTCGGGTCTTTGAGCAGTATGTTTGTGGATGATTTTCCCGTGTCTGAATATTTTTCTTCTGCAATTAGCCTAGATGACAAGTATGGTTTTCCCACGCATATATTTTACTATCTATTTAAATACAAACCTTTATGGATTGAATATTAAAAGAGTAACTAAATAGAAATATTAAAACAGAACGACTGAAAAGGAGGACACAAGGGGACATCTGCAGTGACCCCAGACCCTCTTCCCAGACTACACCTTCAAAACCAAACCACACCACACTCACCGTCACGGAGTCAATACTAACTCAGAGGGACCCTTGGTGGGCTTCCGAGTTTGTAACTCTTTGTGGGAGCAGAAAGCCCGTCTTTCTCTCAGGGTGGGGCGGTGGAGGGGGCAAGAAATGATCCTTCTGCTTCTGCCTGCCACTGCCCACCTGGTCTCAGACCAGTGCTAGGGCGACATACTCACCCTGGGTCATGAAAGAAAGTAGCAGCCTGCAGCACAGGCCGGGAGACTGGCTGCACCCTTGCTCCACAGACTCCTGCAGCCCCCTGTCCCCATGGGGTCTTAGAGAACCTGGGCCAGGCCACCTGGCTGAATGTTGTGTCCTGAGCTCCAGCCTGGTGACATCAACTTCTCTCCCTGTGGTCCTCTCCCTGCCCCTCCCACCCTGAAACCTGATCCCACTAAGGGACTGATTGCAGGGAAGTTTTGGCGGCTTCCCAATTCTGGGGGCTTGTGCGGAGCGCGTGGCTGCATCCTCAGACAGTGTGCCCGCAGCAGCCAGGAGAAGAAGCACACTGGCCAGGCATCAGACTGGTAGCCTGTGGGCAGGCTGGCCCTGGGCGGCCACCCACCCTGTGGGAAGTGCATCATGCTTCTGCCCCTGCCGAAGGTGCTGCTCGCCCTACTTCTACCCACGTTCCTGGCAGTGGGAGGAGGTAAGGGGCACTTGTATGCGATGTGGCTGGACACCCACAATGGTGGGGTGAGGGTGAAGTGCTTGCTTCCGCAGGGAGTTGAGGGATGGAGTGTTTGGCGTGGGTGCGGCCGCAGGAGAGGTGGGCATCTTCGTGGATGTGAGCAGGAGAGCTTTTCGAAGCATCACGGTCAAGCTAGAAAGTTAGAGAAGTGGACCACCCGGTGAAAGCGGGGCTTGCTACTCAGCCGCCGAGCACAGCTGAGAAGCGCTAGACTGGGGGCTTTATCCTGCCCCCAAACTCATCTTGTCGCAGTTGTGAGGGACCCTCAGGCTCATGCCGCCTGCCCTTCCGGTTATAAACAGAAAGCCTATGGTCCAGAGAGGGGAAGGAACTCACTCAGGTCACACAGCTTGCGGGCAACAGACGGGGCTGGGAGCTGAACTAGTCCTCGTCTCTCCCTCCACTGGCTCCTCCGGGCCTTTGTTTCTGAAGGTTCTCTTTGAGCTAAACTCTCCTGACACCGAATTTCTCTGTGTTCCCCATCCCTCGTTGGGACTGGCGAGATGTGGTGGTCACGTCGGGATCCTTCTTAGAAGATTTCTCCCTTACAGACCCAGCTTGGAGCTAGAGAGTGATTAAACAAACAGACAAAAAACAAAAACTCACTGCCATCAAGTCGGTTCTGACTCGTGGCGACGACTGTATAGGACAGGGTAGAATTGCCCTGGGCGGGTTCTGAGACTGTAACTCTTTACCGGATGAGAAAGCCTCCTCTTTCTCCCGAGGGGCAGCCGGTGGTTTTGAACTGCTGATCTTCCAGTAAGCAGCCCAATGGGTAACCACTACACCCCCAGGGCTGCTCTGGAGAATGATTAGAAGATGCTATTCTGGGGCTGGGTGAAAAGCAGGGCTTGTGGGTTCGGTGACTTTCCTTCGGGCCAGCTGAGTGCTCAGTGGGGCTAATGAGCGGACGCTGCAACCGTCCTGTGGGCGGGCCTTTCTCTCCCGAGAGGAGCTCTGTACCTCCCAGCAGCCCTCGGGGGGCACTGTGTCCATCTTGCTCTCGCTGAGCTGGACGGAGCCCTGCCACCAGGAGAATCCGGGCTGTCCTTTGTGAGGAGACCCAAGGATCGGGCTTGACGCGAGTTCCTCCACTGGCTGGAGGGGTGAAAACGCCCCGCTGCTCCCTCCTTATTTATCAGATGAGTCCCTCTGATGAGCACCAAGGAGGACCGGCTCCAAATAACAAGGAGCAGCATAAGTCAGCGTAGGTCTTCCAAGCAGGCACCCCCTCAGCAAGCAGTCTTTTCTCCCTTCTCCTTCCTGCCCTTCTGAGGGCTGCTGGCAGCTCAGCAGACACAGGTGGGTTGGAGCCAGGCAGGAGGAACTGGTGGGACCAGTTGGCCACACAGGTGGATGGAGACATCATTGGCGAGCGGAGAAAAGAGGGGCTTAGTTTGGAGAAAGCCAGTTACCTGCCAGACCCTCCTTCGCTCCTGTTGGGTCCACAGCCCGGTTCTCTCGGGTGGTCCCTTCCTGCCCCAATAGCTGCACCTTTATATTTCATGGTCCTGTTCAGGAAGCGCTCCCTCTGTTTCCCAGGGGCCAAACGGGGCTGCCTCAGGGTCCACTCTAGGGCAAGACGAGGACCTCCTGCCCTGAGCACGAGGCGATGCCGCTCCTGCTCATTCCCCACTGCCAAGCTCTCTTCTCAACCAAGCGAGCATGTCAGGCTAGGGCCGTGCGACGGAGAGGTAGAGGGACACCCTCTGGAGTTGATTTTGCAGGAGGGACAGGGTATCCATGTTCCCTGTTTGCCCTGCTTGCCCTTCCTTCCTTCCTTCCTTCCCTTCTGGGTGGTGGCCGGCTGGGAGCACGGTGACAGAGCTGCCCTGTGTGCTGAAATACAGCGTTGGCTCAGGCAGACCATCTGGCTTAGCAATCATGCATTTGAGCACACACCTTCTTGTACCCATCGCACCTTATCCTACAGCACACAGTCCTGGCCATTTCCCTGTAGCTTCCTGAACCCCTTGACCAGAGACCCGCAGGCCCGCCCTCTTAGGGCACGCAGCCCTCTCTCACCCTTTCTCAGTCTGTACCCACTGTCATCAGGTCAATGCCGACTCACAATGACCCCACAGTGCCGAGGAGAAGCACTCCATGGTGCTTTCAGGCTGTACATCTTTACGAGGACAGGCAGCCTCATCTTTCTCCAGAGGAGCAGCTGGTGGGTTTGAACCACTGACCTTCTGCTTAGCAGCCCAAATGCCTACCCCACTGCAGCACCTGGGCTCCTTTTCTTTCCTGAACCTATTCCAGAACTTCTCTGACCGTGTCCCCTCCCTAGGTCCTGCTAAGTGTACATGAGGTGGGGAGGGTTGGGGGGAATCTGAGAGGACACAGTAGAATGTTGGCAGGAATCTTTGACCTGGCTGTGGAGATTTCCGTCTGCGGGGTGAGGCTGTCTGGGAGTTTTGCGAAATAGGAATGGTGGGGACATAGTTCTTTTAATGGCATTCAAACTAGGACAGGGGGACGGGGCCCACTCTGTGCTGCTGTCCTCCCCAGCCAGGCCGAAGGTCTGTTCCAGGGACCACAATACCACCCTGCCTGCCCTACTGAGGCTTTCCAGCTGCCTGCTGGCCAACTACAACAAGGGCGTGCGACCGGTGCAGGACTGGAGGAAGCCAACCACCGTGTTCATTGATGTCATGGTCTACTCCATCATCAACGTGGTGAGCGCCCCACCCCAACCTGCCACACACAGGGGGCTGGAGAGAAGTCCGGGTGAGACCCAGCCATTCCTGGGCAGCCCCGTGGGCGCACCAGTGCATATGCTGCCTGTGAGCCACGGGCTGCTC